GCCCCTTAACAGTTTGGGAATGAGGACACCCTTTCTCCAAAACAGGGGTCAGAAACACCCTGAGAGAACAAGGCCCCCAAAAATGAGACAAATAATTGGTACCGCTTGTTCTTCCTTTAAAATGACCTGAGACCCCTAAACACTGCCATAGTGGTCTGACATCTCAATTTGCTTCTAGCTGTACTTGGGAAGCCCCCTCTTTCCAGGTACTGAACACCTTGCACAGGTACTTCTCTCCCTCAGGGTGTAGCAGTTTCCAGCTGTATGCCTCCCTGACCCGCTGCCTTAATGGCGGTCACTTTCTGACCCAGAAGGTGGAGGTGTCTGTGGTTTTTAGGGAAAAGAATATCTTAGAATTGTTCTAAGAAAAGTATCTTTGTTAGTGAGAAAGTGTTGGGGTGACTGAAGCCTGGGAGAGTTAGTCGCCCTGTCACCTACCCCAGCACAAACCTATAGAATTCAAGATGGTTTAGTGGATGTTTGCAGCCTCAGTGGCTGGAATACACCCCAGGACATTCCAGGGCTCTGAGCCAAAAATGGTGTCAGGAAGCTGGATAGGAGGGTAGGCTGCTTTGGCCTGGTAGGCTGCTTTTGGTGGGTATATACATACCCACCCATATCACACAATGTTTCTGCTAGGGGTGCCAAATGGCCATGGGGGCCCTATGGGACCGAGGACTCCACAATTGACCCTCCGTCTCCATGAAGCCCTTCCAGGCTGAACAGGCTAAGGGAGATGACAGAGGTTATTCTCCTCCCTCCTACCCCTATGCCTGAGGGCCCCTCCCCAGGAGGACAGCTTGATTAAACAGTCGGTGCTGCTGGAATTACTGCACAGCTGGCGCTCCCCCCAGCACCCCGAGCAGAGCAGCAGTGCAGATTAAAATCTCCAATTAGCGTTAAAGTGAAGTGAGGAGGTGCTGAGGCTGCCAAGGAGGCCAGGTGGGGGCTCTGGGTTGGCAAAACCCCCACTCTTGCCTGGATTCTGAGTGTCACCCTTAGTCACCCCTACTTTCCCAGCTCCTCTCCCAATAGCTTTCAGTGCCCATTAGCTTTGTATCACTTGGGGCCAGAGGTCTTTACAGAGGGGTGAAGAGGAGCAAATGCCTTACCTGCCAACATGCTAGGGACACTGTAAATATAGAGGAGAATGAGAGCAGTCAGTTCTCATCGAGCACTGACTTCATCACCTGCCAGGCAGCCAGGCCAAGGTGACTTGACACTACTGCTCTGCTCCTTCTTTTTGCTTAGATAAAAAGTAAACAGGATAGGTCTTTTACTTATAAAGTGCTAGAGGACATGGTGCCCACATGAACATCTCTCTCTGCATATTTTATCCTATCTGACCCATCTGCTCCCACCCAAGTTATGGTTCCTTCCTCCCTCCCTCCATTCCTCTCTCAGCTTTCCTGTGGGCAGGGGTAGGCACAGCCAGGCTTGGGGAGCATCGCCATGCCCTGCCACCTGAGTCTCAGTCTGCTCCTCGTTATATTCTTCCCAGTTTGGGGAAGAGCAGAGATATGCCCAAAGTAGAGGCCTCAGACTCTTCCAGTCCTTGATTAGTACATGCCCCCACCCAAGGTCCCTCTGCCATCTACACTTTTGCCCTTCATCCACCAAGACTAAAGGGAGGGTATTATAGCTAGCTATGCCCTCTGACTGCCCTCTGCCCCTTTAAGGGAAATGGAGTTGGGTACCCAGCTGACTGAACCTACTCACACCTCCAGAAATTAGACACCAGGGCATGGTGCCACCCTCCCAGGCTGGCACATGCTACACTGGCAGAGGATCAAATAACCCCCCCATCATACCCTGCCCCATGTCTTCCTCTACTCTCTCCCTCATGCTTTCTCTCTCTCTCTCTCTGTCTCTCTCTCTTTTCTCAGCTCAAAGCACAGCTGAGCCTTAAAAGGGGGGTTGGGGGGGTTAAGAGACCAAGCTGGGGCAGGGGGCTATAGAGCTCCAATAGCACGTTTTCACCTGCCATTTAATTGGATGTATTTTTAATTAATGGGACCTCAGGGACCAACATGAGACAATCTGATATCTGAATAGGGACAGGGGAGGGATTGGGTAAGGGAGGAGGATTGGGCCACTGGGTGCGGTTACCGGGAACCCAGGCCCATCAATCACTGGCCACTTTGCGTTCTGGCATGGAGAATAGCAAGGTGGAGGAGGGGAGGCACTGGGGAGAGTGGGGAGAGGTGCCAGCATTTCCCCCCAACTGCCAGGACCTCCAAACGGATTGGAACTATACTGTTGACTCAGTATAGGTCTGTAGCCCAAAATCACAGCCAGAATATGAGGTGAGGCTGTTTTCTTGCTCCTGGGGTTTTGTCTGCTCAGGTTTTTCCCAGGGAGTGCTGTAAAATTGTTAAAGGAAGGTGGGGACAGAGCTTTGAGGTCCTTGTAGAGAGAGTACAAGAGCTATGGACTGGCCTACCGCTGTGGATCACGCCTATAATCCCAGCACTTTGGGAGGCCGAGGTGGGTGGATCACCTGAGGTTGGGAGTTTGAGACCAGACTGCCCAACATGGTGAAACCCCATCTCTACTAAAAATACAAAAAAATTAGCCAGGCATGGTGGCTTGTGCCTGTAATCCCAGCTATTTGGGAGGCTGAGTTAGGAGAATTGCTTGAACCCAGAAGGTGGAGGTTGCAGTGAGCCGAGATCATGCCATTGTACTCCAGCCTGGGTAAGAGGAGACTCCATCTCAAAAAAAGAAAAAAAAAAGAAAGGGAATTTGGAGCTTATCTTGCCCCACCACTTCATCTTACAGATGTAAAAAACAAGACCCAGAGAGGGGAGATCATTTGAATCCTGTCCTGGAATTGCTTTGTGTTCCTGGATTTGGAGAATTTCTGGGAACACAGGAAAAGGAAAGTTAGGTAGGTGTTGTGGGAGGAAAGTCAAGGGAAGAAGGTATGCAGGATATTATTCTCCATTGCTTGAAGGCTCAAGTTTCTGTCCCTTGCCTTAGAAGCAACCTTAGGGGAGTCATGGACAGGTTCAGCTTCTATGGAGCACTGCTGGGAGAACATTCCCTCTGTACAGCCTGTTTCAGAGGTCATCTCATCCATTTTCTTGCTTACAAGTACACAAATCCCCTACAACCCCAACCCCTATGGAATTTTACCATGTATTATAAGATCTACAGGGAAGGATGTCCACTAGTTACTTCAACTCCTTACCTAAGAAACAAATCCCCCAGTCAAGACTAAGTATTGAGCTTTTTTTGAAATCTTATCACATATTTCCCTGCTTTACTATAATCCACGGGAGAAAACTTATGCCAAAAAATGTATTAAGGAGTAGTCTTATACCTCTTGTCCCATGGCGAAGCCTAGAACAGAGACAGAATTTAAATTCAAGGCCCTGAAGGCTGAATTAGAAATGTTCCTAAATTCATACGGTGCTATGGCCTTAGAGCTCTTAGGCACTTTTGTGGCTCTTGTAGTGCTGATGTACTGGAGAGAGGAACAAGTTTCCAGCTGTACCCATCCCCACCCCCTTGCTCCTTCACTGTTCACATGCTTGGGTTAAGGAGGGAAAGAATGAAGGAGAAAGGGGACTCTCCCACTAGGTTTCCAAGGTGGGATTTCTTGGCATACTCCTCCTTCCTCAGAAAATTCAACATTTTTATTTCCATGCTTCATAAGACTAGGTTAGGGTTGGGGCAAGGATAGGCACAGAGCTTAGAAAGCAGTGCCAGTAGAAACTTTGTCACACTCCCCAGGCCCCCAACGCCCTTCCCCTACCAAGAGTTGCCTTCTGTTCCCCATTTTATATCCCCAAATCCTCTGAGAAGAGCGGGGTCTGCCTCTCTAAGTGCCCCTAGCCTCACCCAGCCCTGCCTTCAGACTCGGAGTCATCTCCTTGGCTGTCTCATTGTCTGCTTTCTCGACTGCAGACAGGATGAGAAGAGCTCCCCTCACATCCCTCTAAAACAGTCTGGAAAGAATTCATCTAGGACCCCTTGCCTACTTCTGAGGGCCCCAGGGGTGTTAGCAGGGGAGAGGGGCTGTGCCAAGGGACTGGAAAGGAAGATTCTCTTGTCAGGGGAGAGCAGATAAAAGTGCTGACAAGGCAGAGGGTGAAGTTTGGGAACTGAGACCTGTGGTCCCATCTGTGGACTGGCTGCCTAATGTGTGGCAGGACATTTGGAACAAGTATTGTTCGTAGGATTTATTAAGTGACTGCTGTTTACAGAGCTGCTGTTTCTACTCTGGAACACACAGCAGTGGAAAGGAGCATGCACTGAAAGAGAGGGTGGCAGGCTTTCTGTAAGCCCTCTTTTTCACCCCTTGTCCATCCCTACTCCAACATATTGCAGGAGCTAGGGCTAAAAGGCCCTAAAAGCATTCAGTCTATATTCTGGGTACTTCTCCAAGGAACAGAGGCTCCATTCTTGTAACTTCTGTCACATCTGCCTCTCACTCCTGCGGTTTTTGTTGTTGTTGTTTCTGTTTTTCTTTCTTTTTTTTCTCTCTCTGAAGTGAATGCATTGAAAGTTTGTTTGTTTGTTTGTTTTGAGACAGAGTCTCCCACGATCGCCCAGACTGTAGCGCAGTGGCATGATATCGGCTTACTGCAATCTCCGCCTCTTGTGTTCAAGCAATTCTCCTGCCTCAGCCTCCTGAGTAGCTGGGACTACAGGTGTTTGCCGCCACGCCCAGCTATTTTTTTTGTATTTTTAGTAGAGACAGGGTTTCACCATGTTGGCCCAGATTATCTTGATCTTCTGACCTTGTGATCTGCCCAGCTTGGCCTCCCAAAGTGCTGGGATTACAGGCATGAGCCACCGAGCCCGGCCAGTTTGTTTGTTTTTAAGATGGAGTCTCACTCTGTCGGTCAGGCTGGAGTGCTGGCCTGATCTCAGCTCACAGCAACCTCAGCCTCCCGGGATCAAGTGATTCTCCTGCGTCAGCCTCCTGAATTATAGGCATGTGCCACCATGCCCAGTTAATTTTTGTATTTTTAGTAGAGACAGGGATGGGGATCATGTTGGCCAGGAGGGTCTCAAACTCTTGACCTCAAGTGATCTACCTGTCTCAGCCTCCCAAAGTACTGGGATTACAGGAGTGTGGCTTGGCCTTCCATTCCTAATGTTTAGCCAAGGGTGCCAGGTCTTTTCGGGAAGAGGGGTAGACTTGAAGTGAGTGAAAGTTAAAAATGGTAGTATCCAGAATTTCCTGCACTCTGGAGAAAAGGGACTAGGTGAGGTGCTCAATATTAGCCTAGGGTTTAGCTTTTACTCTAATAGGACCCCTTTCTTCCTTCTTCCCTAAATTTTCCCATTGATTGAAGAGAGATCCGGATGTCTAAACCTCCCATCTTGACACCTAGGAAGCTGTTACGCAGATCCTCTCTCTGTGGCTTCCAAAGCCATGGAAAAGGGGAAGGAAGGCCAAGAAAGGGGTAGATAGAGGTGGCAGTGTCATGGTGTCCATCAGCACCCAACGAGAAAGGCCAAGGAGAAGAAAGTGACCAGAGAAGAAGCCAGGAGGAGATGCCTGCTCCTGAAACAGCATTCTTACCCCATCCTCTCCTGCTTCCCCTCTCGCATGCCGACAGGGCTGTGTGCCCAAGTGTGCCAGCTCGCCTGGCTAGTGATCCTGCTCTGCTGTGCAGGCAGCCGGCTCTCTGCCCCAGCACAGAGCACATGCTGAGGTCTCACACTCCTTTGCTCACTCATTTCCATGTCTATGTTGCAGATTCCTAGAAATGAAGGAGGAGACTGTGGCCTTGAAGGTAGGAAGATGGCAGGCTCTGGGCCCATTGGGCACATATCTGCCTGACTGGAGGAAGGAAAGAGTGAGAAGGCTGCTGGTAGCTCAGGAAGCTCAAGGTTCTGGTGACTCACAGCAGTGGAGGTGGCTCATACTCCACCTGGAATGGAGGAGAAGGAGTTCAGGCCTGTTAGAGCTCTCTTTGGCCCCATATCTCCCCACTCTGAACTCTGTGGATGAAGGTCCCTCATCTGGATTGTGGAGCAGGGGAGGCCCCAACTATGAAAAAAGAGAGGGAAATGAGAGAGAAGAGAGCAGGGGAAGCTGAGCATTCCCAGTTAGAGGTATCTCAGTGAGAAAAGGCTAGGAGAGGCCAGTTATTCTTGCCCTATTGTATTCATTGGCTGCACAGGCATTTTGGGGCATCCACCTGTGCTAGGGTAGCTCAGTGCCTGTGGGCACCTTCCAGAAGAGGGAGCTTTCTAGGCAAACACAGTTACTCCTCTCTTCCCTTCCTTGCCTGCCCAGACCTCTAGGTACCCAGCTAACACTAAATTTTTAGAAGTAAAAAAAAGCTATGTTGGCCGGGCATGGTGGCTCACATCTGTAATCCCAGCACTTTGGGAGGCTGAGGCGGGGCAGATCACGAGGTCAGGAGTTCGAGACCAGCCTGGCTAGCATGGTGAAACCCTGTCTCTACTAAAAATACAAAAAATTAGCTGGACATGGTGGTGCATGCCTGTAATTCCAGCTACTCAGGAGGCTAAGTCAGGAGAATCACTTGAACCCAGGAGGCAGAGGTCGCAGTCAGCCAAGATCGCACCATTACACTCCAGCCTGGGTGATAGAGCAAGACTGTCTCAAAAAAATATATTTAAAAAGTTATGTTACAGCACCAGAACCTAGAATGATAACTGCTGGGTCTCAGTACTCTCCTTCCTGGAAACAGACACCTGTGACAAGAGAGAAGCAGCTAGGGACTCCTGCTTTGGCTGAACCAGAGTAGTGGTGCAGGCTGTGGAGGTAGATGCAGAACCATAGATCTTCAGAAATGTCAATTTCCTCCTCCCTTATGTGCCAGGTGGGCAGTATGCGTCATCTCCATTCTTTCTGATCGGGGGTTAATAGGGTACTGTGTTTGAGATCACACCAGGAGAAAGACGCCAGAAAGTGGACCAGGAGAACCATACATGCCTTGGACTTCAGTCCCAGGGGCCTGTGACTGGATCTGGTAAAGAGTAACAGTTAGGATGGCTGAGCGTGATGGCTCACGCCTGTAATCCCAGGACTTTGGGAGGCCAAGGCAGGTGGATCATGAGGTCAGGAGATTGAGACCATTTTAGCCAACATGGTGAAACTCTATCTCTGCTAAAAACACAAAAATAAGCCAGGCATGGTAGTGTGCGCCGATAGTCTCAGCTACTCAGGAGGCTCAGGCAGGAGAATTGCTTGAACCTGGGAGGTGGAGGTTGCAGTGAGCCAAGATCACGCCACTGCACTCCAACCGGGGCGACAGAGTGAGACTCTGTCTCAAAAAAAAAAAAAAAAAAAAAAAGAGTAGTAGGGATCTTGCTTGCTAGTATATCCAGATACAGACACATAATAATAAACATCCCCTTCTCAGAGAAGGATGGGCTAAGAGGAGGAGGGTCTGTGACAGGGCCTGAGTTCTCATTTGCCTATTTCTGTTCCTTTCACTGCTGGCATCTCTGCTCTCCTGCCAGGATAAGGGACCCTCTGCCCACTTGGTCCTGGTGATCCAGAGATGGCTTTGGTTAGAAAAAGGACAGCCGACTAGCCACTCCTTGTGCAGGAAGACAAGAACAGCTCCACTCCCCCAGCTCTCCCCAGCACTATCAGAAGCCCCAGATTCCTTGCATAATAAGCTCAGTCCTGAACTAAACCAACATAGCAGCTGGCCGTGGGTATAAAAGTAGTACTGTGAGGGGGAGCTTGGGTCCACCAGCTCAGGTTAGGCAGGTGTAGGGAGCTTAGTCCCAGGTGAGATAACAGAATCATGCTATAGCCAGGCAAAGTGGCTCATGCCTATAATCCCAGCACTTTGGGAGGCCAAGATGGGAGGATCACTTGAGCTCAGGAGTTCGATACTAGCCTGGGAAACATGGTGAAACCTCATCTCTACAATTTAAAAAAAAAAAAAAATGGCCGGGCGCGGTGGCTTAAGCCTGTAATCCCAGCACTTTGGGAGGCCGAGGCGGGTGGATCACGAGGTCAAGAGATCGAGACCATCCTGGTCAACATGGTGAAACCCCGCCTCTACTAAAACTACAAAAAATTAGCTGGGCATGGTGGTGCGTGCCTGTAATCCCAGCTACTCAGGAGGCTGAGGCAGGAGAATTGCCTGAACCCAGGAGGCGGAGGTTGCGGTGAGCCGAGATTGCGCCATTGCACTCCAGCCTGGGTAACAAGAGCGAAACTCCGTCTCAAAAAAAAAAAAAATTAGCCAGGTGAGGTGGCCATACATCTCTAGTCCCAGCTGCTTGGGAGGCTGAGGTGGGAGGACTGCTTGAGCCTGGGAGGTGTAGGTTGCAGTGAGCCAAGATTATGCCATGCACTCCAGCCTGGGTAAGAATGGGACCCTGTCTCAAAAAAAAAAAAAAAAAAAATGCCATGATATCACATTCCCTAATCCTCTACTTTCTGAAACCTTATTTTCTGCCCACCTTTTCTTTCACCTCTCTATAGCCAGCTCCATTCCTGGCCACCTCCATTCCTGGCCAACTCATCCCCTCCAGTCTGAGAGGACATGGTAAGTAGTTGTCTGTTCCCTATGCTTTTCTCTCTCTCTCTCTTCCTCTCCTCCCAGCTCCCAACTGAGAACTACCCCTGTTTCAACTCTTTCCAGTGAATGCCACCAGGATCTGAACCCAGGATATCCAGCCTCCATCATCACCCTAACCCTGAGAATGCCACTGGGGTGGGGAGGACTTGTCAGTCTTCATCCTTCCCCACAAGTATACTGAGGCCAGGACAGGTATGTCCATTGCCATGAGGGGCCCTGCCGTGGAGCAGAGGGCAGCCATAGGGTTGCAGTGGGGTCTCAGCCCTAAATGCATGTATGCCTGTGCATTGGGCACACTGGTTTATTAGTGTTATTTCAGCATTGTGATGCAGAGAGAGTAAGTGTAACAGCTGCTCCTTGCTTGCAGTGTTTATTGTTACCTAGAGACAACCTCCTGGCTTTTTCCCAGCTCCCCCTCCCCCCAACCCAACCCCCTCCCTGCCAACAATCCTGCTCTCCCCACACTGATGGGAAATTTATAGCTTGCCCATACCATGCCTTTAACCCTCTCTTGTCCATAGGGTAGATAGGCTAAGGAAAGCCAAGTGAGCAGCAGGCATGCTTGGGTACCAGCAGGGTGGAATAATATGTGGAAGAGGGAAGGGGCAATGACACCCCTCCCCTCCATTCTATGTGTCCAGTCTTAGGCCCCTGCTGCCTTCCTGGCTCTCAGTGGAGAAAAAAGAGGAAATTTGGACCTAGCCTTGAGATCCTGGAAGAGCTCTTTTGGACCTAGCCTTGGGATCCTATCATCTCCTCACAAAATTATGATCTTCCTTGGGCATCTCTAAGCCACCAATTGGGTTGTCTGTACCTGTGCAAATATAGCAAGGTAGTGTTGAAACAGAGGGGTAAATCCAGAGTGGCAGAACCCCCAGCTCCCTCCTTTATGTCTGAGAGAGAGGTAGCTGTAGAGATTATATCAAGACAAACAAGAGGCACTGGCTTGAGAAATGCTGGCTGGACGTCTACAGCTGGGTAGATGTCAGACGTGAAGCCTGCTGCTGAGCCTGGTGGGAAACACTGCCCGCCTTAACGTCACCTGAGCCCAGCACTAAGATCCTGAGAGACCCCCCAGTCCATTCTCCAAGCTGGTCTTTTTGGTCTGGTTATGCTGCTGCTTATTTCTTGTCCTTCCTGGGTCATTTTCTCCTACGTATCTTCCAGTTTGATACCTTGGGGCAGATCCAAGAGACTGAGAAGATGGAGGCATCCTAGTTATGGCCTCAATACAGCTGGGGAAAGAAAAGCTCCCTCTGTCCTCTCTTGACCTTTCATGGAGGAACACTAAGTCTTCTACTCACCATCCTCGCTGGAAACAGAAGAGAGGAAAAGGCATCAGATTTTAGCAGAAAGGATAGAGGGTAGACATATGGAAAAACTTACTCATGGGATGAAAGACTTCAGATTGGGCCTGATTCTCTTCTGAGATTTTTCTTCTGCCTGCTGGTTTGTGTTTGTGTCTCCATAAGGAGCATTGGACAAACAAGGTTAGTTTTCCAGGCCTCTTCCAGACAGCCTCAGCACAGTTTCCACACAGTGCACCACTTCTCAGTTCTTCTAAATGTAATATAGTATGTGTGGTGGTTAGATCACAAGTTTTGGAGATAGCCCTGGGTTCCAGTGCCAGCTCTGCCACTTACCAGCTGTGCTACCTTGGTAAGTCACTTAACCTCTTTGAGTCCTAGTGTTTTTTTTTTTGTTTGTTTTTTTTTTTTGAGACAGAGTCTTGCTCTGTCACCCAGGCTGGAGTACAGCGGCTCAATCTCGGCTCACTGCAACCTCCGCCTCCCGGGTTCAAGTGATTCTCCTGCCTCAGTCTCCTGAGTAGCTGGGATAACCAGGCGCGTGCCACCATGCCCAGCTAATTTTTTGTATTTTTAGTAAAGATGGGGTTTCACCATGTTAGCCAGGATGGTCTCCATCTCCTGACCTTGTGATCCACCTGTCTTGGCCTCCAAAAGTGTTGGGATTATAGGCATGAGACACTGCACCCAGCCCAGAGTCCTGGTAAATGCAGATAAACAATTACTCTTTAAGTTTGTTGTGAGAATTTCATGAAATAATGTGTATAAAGCACCTACAACAGTGCCTGATACTCAGTAGATGCTTACTCAACAGTGGATGGTGCAATCGAGTACTACTACTTTTATGAAGTTAGCAGGGCTGACATTGCTTCAAAAACTTTGTGGGCCCCCTGAGATTAACGGCCAAATGTATGTGCATATGCTGGGGAGAATGTCTGTAGTTTTCTACATGATGTGGAGTAGGGGTGGCCATCCTCTGGAAAGAAAGTAGTCCCAATTCTTGAATCAGGCTCCCCAAGAAGTCAGGTCCCCCATTCCTATGCCTCTCAAGCCAGAGTACCTTGGCCACTGTTCTGCCTGGAAGTTCAGCTTCATCCAGGATGGAGCTGGGAGAGATACTCATTAGGATAGCAACAACTAGCATTTGCTAGGCACTTTACAGTTTGTCAGTTACATTTATCTACATTAGCTCTTTTGAGATCCAGAACAACCCAGTAAAGAGAACTGCATTTATCGATGCTTCTGTGCCAGGCATTGTACTGAGTGGTGTTGTTTTTTTTTTTTTTTTTTTTTTTTTTTTTGAGACGGAGTCTTGCTCTGTCACGATGCTGGTGTGCTATGGCACGATCTCAGCTCGCTGCAACCTCCAACTCCCTGGTTCAAGCAGTTCTTGTGCTTCAGCCTCCCGAGTAGCTGGAATTACAGGCATGTGTCACCATGCCCCACTAATTTTTGTAATTTTAGTAGAGACGGGGTTTCACCATGTTGGCCAGGGTGGTCTCGATCTTCTGACCTTGTGATCCACCCACCTCAGCCTCCCAAACTGCTGAGATTACAGGCGTGAGCCATTGCACCTGGCCGAGTGTGGTTCCGTTTTTTAATCCTGAGTATGTTTTTTTATTTTTATTATTTATTTATTTGTGTGTGTGTGTGTGTGTGTGTCTGTGTTTTAAAGTATGTTTGAAGCCTATGGAGTATATCATCCCCTGGATATGCTGTGATTTATAAGGTTCATCTCCTATTTCGAATCATTTAGGTATTTTTGCTGTTATAAGAAATATCACAGTGAATATCCAAACAAATAAAACTTTATGCATTTTATTTTATTTATTTTTTGAGATGGATTTTTGTTCTTATTGCCTGGGCTGGAGTACAATGGTGTAGTCTTGGCTCATTGCACCTTCTGCCTCCTGGATTCAAGTGATTCTCCTGCCTCAGCCTCCCAAGTAGCTGAGATGACATGCACCTGCCACCATGCCTGGCTAATTTTTGTATTTTTAGTAGAGATGGGGTTTCACTATGTTGGCAAGGCTGGTCTCAAACTCCTGACCTCAGGTGATCCATCTGCCTTGGCCTCCCAAAATGCTGGGATTACAGGCATGAGCCACTGCACCTGACCTTCATGCATTTTAAATAATTAATTCTGAGAAGTGGAATTACTGGTCAATGGATACAAATACCCACTTCCCATGGTTATGTTCATTTTATTGATGTGCCCTAATGAGAATAATATTTATTAGTCTTCCTCGTTGGAATTCTACACTAGAAACACAAGGCAGCCCCTTTTCCCTCCTATACCCAACAGAGACATTAATAATCTATCAAGGCATTTAACATTGAGATCATAGTAGATCCACATGCAGCTGTGAGACATAATACAGAGACGGGGAGGTCTCTTGTACATTTTGCTCACTTTCACCAAATGGCAACATTTTATGAAACTATAGTATAATGCCATAACCAGAATGTTGATCTTGATATAATCTACCAGTCTTATCCAGATTTCTCTAGCTTTACTTGTTCCCATATATGTATATATTAAGTACTATACAATTTTATTACCTGTGTAATTTTATGTATCTACAACTACAGTCAAAAAGCTGACTAACACCACAAGAGTTCTTCATGTTGCCCTGTTATAATCACACCTCCTACCCTTCCACCCACCTTATCCCCTCCCTAACCTTTGACACCACTAATCTGTCTTCTTCTAAAATGTCATAGTTTCAGAAATAGGGTAATATAGTACATAACTTTTTAGGATTGTCTTTTTTATTGTTTTAGAGACAGGATCTTGCTCTGTTGCCCAGGATGGAGTACAGTTGCACAGTCATAGCTCACTGCAGCCTCGAAAGTCTGGGCTTATTAGCTGGGCATGGTGGCATGCTCCTGTAGTCCCAGCTACTTGGGGGGCTGAGGTGGGAGGGTCGCTTGAACCTGGGAGGCAGAGGTTGTGGTAAGCCAAGATCATGCCACTGCACACCAGCCTGGGTGACAGAGCAAGACCCTATCTCATAAAAAAGAAAAAATGTTAAAAAATAAAAAAATCCTGGGCTCAAGGGATCCTCCAGCCTCAGTCTTCTAAGTGGCTAAGACTACAGGTGTCTACCATCATGCCAGACTAATTTTTAAATTTTTGTAGAAATGTAAAATGGGCCTTTCTATGTTGCCCAGCGTGGTCTCAAACTCCTAGCCTCAAGCAGTGCCTGCTTTAGCCTCTCAAGTTGCTGAGATTACAGGCGTGAGCCACTGTGCCCAGGTTGTCTTTTTTCATGCAGCATAATTCCCCGGAGATCTGTCTGAGTTTTTATGTGTATCAATAGTTCATTTTATTTATTCCATGGTATGAATATACCACAGTTTGTTTGGCCAGTTACCTGCAGAAGGACATCTGGGCTAATTCCAGATTTTTGGCTATTACAGATAAAGCTACTATGAACATTAATGTACAGATTTTTGTGTGCAGAGATTTTTGTGTGAACATAAACATTTTTCTATATTGCCAAGTTGTCCATGAACAAAGTTCTCTCACTTTGTACTCATTAGCAATGAATGAAATAGCTCATTTCACTTGTTTGCTGAATATTTTATATTCATAATTATTAAACTTCTTAATTGGGAATGGCATTACTGTTATCTCCATTTTATAGATGTGGAAAATTGAGGCTCACATTAAATCATTTTCCCAAGATCGTATGATGTTAAGTGACAAAGAAGAGCCTGGAATCTAAGATAATAAGGCTTTTTCCACCACAGCTGGCTTTTCAGGTGGAGGCCTTTCTATACTTCACTAAGGTTGCCGAAAAGAGGGTGTGGGTGCTACTAGTAAAGAGATGTTGGGGGCAGGGAGAGCACTGGAGCAGCCTGGGTCAACTCAGGTCCTCA